TGACTATGATCAATCAAAAGTATGTGAATACCCACACTTACCATTCAAAGGGGTCTGCACCACTGCTTGAATCTTTTTAGTGGTCCAAAATGTTGAAAACAACTTATCTAGAGTGATCCCTATTCATTAACCTCACTGGCACCCAGCATCCAGTTCAGAGGTGCTAGAGGACACCTCTCCAACTGTTGTGTTCAACAGCAATTAGTAAATTTATCATCCACAAATTTGTCTAGTCCCCTTTTTGAACTTGTCTGTGCCATCTGCCTCAACCACATCCTGTGGCAAAGAATTCCACAAGTCATCTGTGTTATGTAAAAAAAATACTTTCTCTTGTTAGTTTTACATCTATCTCCTACTCATTTCAATGGCTGTCCTCTACTTCTAGCATTCTGGGACTTGATGAATAACAGATCCTTTGTCCACACCCTTTATAATTTTGTAGACCTCTCTCATATACCCTTCTCAGACTTCTCCTTTCCAAATAGAGTCTTAACCTTTATAGTGTCTCTTGGTATGGCAAGTGCTCCATCTCCCTGATCATTTTGGTTTCCTTCTCTTTACCTTTTCCAACTATGCTACATCTCTTTTGTGATGCAGAGACCAGAACGCTAAACAACATTTAAGATATGGGCACACCATGGATTTGTATTGTGGCATGTTGATGTTCTGCTTTGTTTTCAGTTCCTTTTTTAGTGACGTGCAGCATATTGTAATGTGAATGTTATGTGTGTAACAGCAGGAGTAGGGACCTACTTAAATCATGGTGAGAGTAAACAATTTTTGTGGATTGGTTGCGACATAAAGAGCAAATTACGTGGATATTTCTGGATATGCTCTTCTGGTCCCACCCCTCAGTGCTGATTGGCAGAGAGGCCCTGGTGGGGGAGGAGGGACAAGGGGACATCTACCGTCTTGTTTGCTGACTGCCCTTCATGTGGCCCTGACCCTCAGTGCTGATTGGTGGAGAGGCCCCAGTAGGGGAGGAGGTACTAGGGGGTGGCCACCATCTTGTCTGCTGCCCTTTGTGCCATGCTGCCCTGCCAGCCAGCACCTTCACACCCCGGCTGGGCTCTGAGGCCAGGCCACAGTGGCAGCAAGGACCACTGGCTCCCAATATTTATTAAGCTTTTTTTTTAAAGTTGATTTCATGGACAATCCCTGATTTTGTGGTTTCCATGAAATCTGTGGAATCACAAATTGAATAGACCTGAGGTTTGCAGACTGCTTCTAGCTCCTCCACAAACTGAGGAGGAACCAGGGGCAGTCTGCAAAGCTGTACTTATTATTAATTTGGACTGGGACTCCTAGAAACCCTCAAGGACTATGGGGCAAAGGAAAATGGAAGAGAAAGCCCTAGGCTAGAGTAAGGGAAAAAGAGAGCTGCATGCATGGGGATTCAGGTCAGTCTTACGTAGGGAGTGCACAGTGGTGCTGAAGAGCTCACTGGCTCAGTTAGCCGGGATTGTGGACTCACGGAGCTGGACTCAGAATTGGGGGCAGCTGCAGGCTGCTGTTTGAGCACTCTAAGACTAGAGGCTTGTTTGGGGACACTTGCAGAGATGTGGAAGGGAAATTAAGGTGCTGTGTTACCACAGTGTTGGTGTTTCCTTACCTTTTACCTGCTCCCTCCCTTTGGCCCGTTGGCTGTGACCAACCCTTATGATTTTCTGTAAAAGTGGGAACTCACCATTGTTTCTTGTGCCAGTTTCTGGGCCTGCAGGGTTGACACAATATTACTGCCTTTTTTCACCACTGCATATTGAGCTGACATTTTCAGAGAACTATATACAGTGACTCCAAGGTCTCTTTTCTAAATCATAACAGCTAGTTCAGAACCCAGCATTGTGCATGTCTAGTTAAGGTTATTTTTCCTCAGGTGCATTACCTTGAACTGTTCAACACTGAAGTTCATCTGCCATTTTTTTTGCCCGCTAATGTAGCTTGGTGAGATCTTTCTGCTGCAGCTGGGGCCGCTGCAGCTGGGACTGGGGTGAGTGCTGCATCCCGCACCGCTCGGGGCTCTGGTTGTCCGCACTCACCCCAGCCTGCGCTGGAGCGGCCCCAGGAGCAGCTGACATCAGCTGCCTGCACCAGGGCATGGTGCAGCCCAGTGACTACAAACAGCTGGCATTGGCCAGTCCTGGGGCAGCTGTAGCAGGAGCTGGGGTGAGTGGAGACAGACAGAGCCCCAGGGGGTCCAGGGCATGGTACAGTTTGGTAGCTGTAGGCAGCCGGCACTGGCAGCTCCTGGGGCCACTGCAGCTGGGCCAGGGTAAGAGGGGCCATGGGGTTTCCCTCTCCCCGCAGACTTACCTGCTTGGGGGGGGGGGGGCAGAGGAGGGTCTATGGTGATCGCAGAAGAGTGAATTTACCTCACACATAACAAATTATGGGTTTAAATATGTTCATCGCATAAGAGCGAATTCGCATATAAAGAACCCGCATAAATAGAGGGAAACCTGTATTTAGCCTTACCCTTTGCTTCCTATCTTTTAACCAATACATACTATTGCCAGAATGTCTGCAATTTCACCTTTGAATTCCTTCAGAACTCTTGAATGAATGCCATTCAGTCCTGGTGACTTATTAGCATTTATCAACTGGTTCTAAGTCTTCATCTGTTGCCACTTCAATGTGGTCCAACAGTTCAGACCCACCTGCTAGGAAGGATTTATTTGGTACGGGAGTTTTCTCAGTATGTTCTGCATAAAAACTGATGCAAAGATTTTGTTCAGTTTCCCTGCTATGGCTTTCTCATTTCTGAGTGCACCTTTGACACCTTGGTTATCTAATGGTCCCATCAATTCTCCCACTGCTTCCTGCTTCTGATGTAGTTTTAGAAGTTTTTATGATTAACAGCTTTTACTAGATATTCCTCAGATTCTTTTTTTGGCCTCCCTCATTTTGCTTTTATACTTGACCTGCCAGACTTTGTGAGCTTTCCTGTTTTTCACATTTGAGCACTCCCACTTCTTGAAGGATACCGTTTTGCCTTGAATGGTCTCCTTAACACCACTGTTAATTTAGGCAGGGGTTTTACTGGACCAATTGATACCCTTTGGATTTGTGGTATACACTTTTCCTGAGCCTCTAACATAGTATTTTTAAACAACTTTCATGCTACCTGCAGCTGTTTTATATTTTTGACTGTTCCTTTTAACTTCTTTCCAACATCCTCATTTTTGTGTAATTTCCCTTTTTAAAATTATAGTTAAAGAAATGTTTTTAAAAGAAAACTTTGTGTCTTTACTTTCACATGCAATTGCTGCAACTGTGTAGGAGTTATATATAATTCCATTTTGTGTCCAGAAACGCACAAAAAACCTACAGTAAAATACGTTAACTTCCCTAGATATTCCATAACTGATTTAATTGTAGCTGTCTTTAAACCAAAAAAAACCCCAACTTCAAAACCAACTTGAATATGAAACTGAAGAACAAGAAACCACCCATAGACTGGATTGTGTTAACAAGGGAATCAACAGGGATCATGGTTTCTTATCCCTTTATCTGGACCAGCAGTAAACTCCAGTGTCTTTCCAAGTGCTAACTACCTCATTCACCTCAAATGATCTAATCAACCCACTTCCTTTCTTAGCAGTGTGCCTTTCAATTCTGTATAAAATTTTTCTTTCTGCCAGTTCTTTCATAGCATCTTACAAAGTAGGTTGTTGCTTTTTAAAGCCCATATTTTCTGACTCCAGTAGTCTCTAAGATGCCGCTCTACTCTACCTTCTGCCTGGCTTCAAACCAATAGTATAAACAGGGGTGGGTGAGTGCAGCACTTACCCTTGATGCCAAGTTGAGAGGGATGACAGAATCATCTCGCACCCCTGCAGCTTACCCATGTTGGGAACTCCAAAACAGTCTATGGCTGCTGCTGCTGCTGCTTTAAGAGTGAACTTGGGCAAGAAGAACATGCAGCAGTGTTCCCCCTCGCCCCCCATCAGCTTCTACTTGCAGAACCATGTGCCCCTCACTGCGCGCCCCCACCCAGCTATCAGAACCGTACCCAATCCTTCCCCCTCCCCTGCCCCCCACTCTTCTGCAGGATTTCCCCATGTCGGCAACTCTGCTTGTTACATCTCTGCTTTGACTAACATGACTTACCACCTTACTACCTCTATGTTGAGAGTTAGTATCACCAACCTAGTTTTTGTTGCAGGAAGTTGTCTATAATTCCCTTCATTCTGTGCTGAAATCTGGCATCTTCAAGAGCACCCTAGTTGTCTAAGAAAATTATTGGATTATTTCACTAGTGGCTTATAGTTAAATGCTCCTGGTATATTGCAAAATTATGTTTCTGCTGAACTGTGTTTAAAAATGCTTATTGTGGATATGTAAGCAGCTCGTGACATGTTTTACCATGCTGTTTTTATTTAAAATGTCATTATTGTAGTGGAGTAGGCAAAATATTGAGCTGTTAAAGAATGGGAAAGAGCTTTTGCTCAAGGGTTTTTCTTTCTCAATTGCTACTTACAAAACATTAACCTTAAGAAGTGCCAATCCCAAATGAGTCACTGAAATTACACTCACTAAAGCTTCTTTGAACATATAGTGCCACAAAGTGTTTGTTTCTAACCTACTAATCCATCCTGCTATTCTAAGAGGAGGGGGAGGGGCAGAGCTTGGTACTGTAAAGGGAGGTGAAGTAAAGTGCTACCTCTGTTTTCTGCTTTAGTCTTGCCTTATCTGAAATGAAGAAGTTAGAGGATGTGGGTATCATCCCTTTGTATTATTTATTTTATAAAGATAATACTCCCAAATTTGCCACTTCACAGAAGTAAGGATAAATTGCTATCTGTAATGCTCTGGAAACTTACAGAGTGATGTTGTGTTCTGTGTACACACGCACATGCACACATGCAAAATACTGATGTCTTATTTATGTTGTGCTGAAGGTTGTAGCCAAACACAATCTAAATTATTGTGAACACTATAGCTACCTTGCAAGATGCTGAATTTTGCTTCACTACAGTTGATGTATTTCATATGCTTACCTCTCCATTGAAGAAGCAGAATATAGTTGCAACAAGCAAGCCCTAAGAAGGACAGAAAAAATAAAAGTGTTTAGAATACATCAACATTTCTACATTATTTGAAAATTTAAGGCTCAGAACTGTAAGACTCCCTAGCTCTATAAACTAAGCAGACCTTTCAGCATAGTTTAAATGCTAGGTTTTGTAGTCTTGCAGGCCATTTATAGATGTTACATTTTTCTAGGTTTAATATTGACTACAGTTGTAACTATATACATGTGGATGTCTGTAGTCCAAATTAAAATTGGGTCCAGTCTGAATTAACTAATTCTCCTTGAATGAGGATTAAAATTAATACAGACTAGGGCAGTCTGAATCAGGCAATTAAAATTATTAATTAAAATGTATATACTGTGTTGCTTTTGCATTTTATAATGTATATAAAATGTATATATTGTGTGTTGCTTTTAGGAAAAACAGTCCTTAGGAACTTAGATAAACAGATAACCATTGCAACTAACAATCCACAAAGGAAACTCAATTGTTTTTTTTGCAAAACAATAGAGGCTATCAGGCACAAAGAAACACCTTTACAAAGTCAAACGCTCCAACAGCACTCACCCTGCTAAGTCTCCCATCACTTACAGCTTTTGGAACAGCACTTCAGATAACTGCAACTGCAACAATGTGCTTACACAGGCTTATTATTACCTTGTTACTTCCAACCTCTGCTAAGGGGCTGTCAAGTGTACAGATTGTATATATAGTCAGTGCCCCCTGCCATGATAGTCAATGATCATCTATTAACCCTTAACTGAAATTGAAATTTGATTCAAACAGTGTGATGCAAATCAGTTAACTTGGTTTAGAAAATGCTGAGCACATCTGTAAATGGCTGCAATGATGTTCATCTTTCTAACATGTTTTAGTCATATCCATTTCATTAAGACCTTCTATTACCAGCCATTCTAGTTCATCTGTTTTTGCCTTGTACTTGCTTCTCATAAAGGAGAACTAGAAAAGGAAAGTTTAGAGGGCAGATTCAAGCCCAAGGTAAGCTGACTAGCCTGGAACTGGTGTGCCTCATTGGTGCTGCTGCTTGAAGAAGACATAGTGGAGGATAAGATGTGATTACTGGTTTGTCAGGATGGAGATGCAAGAGGAGCAACACAAGCTACTAAACACGTCGGAAGAAGCAAACCTATGTGTGGGTGGCCACATATTGTTATGTGAGTGGACAGATATAACAAGAGACATAAGTGGTTAGAAAAGAGGGGTGAACATACAGAATAGGATGAGAAAGGATGGAGTGGAAAAGGAAGGAGAGAGTACACTGATTAACACTTGGCCCCAACTTTTTATAATGAATGTAAATAGTGCAACAGCAGATCAGAAGGACATTTCATTACTGCTACAGCAAAATAAAGCAGGGTCAAGTTGGGATTAGTAAGTGTAATAAAAGAGTAATTTTTCACATATATAGGCTCTAATCCAGAGCCATTTAATTAGAATACACTATGTCCTTATTAAAATGGCATTACAAATCAAAATTTAAAGCCAAATTTGTCAAGTTAATCATTTAAAGTATTCCTTAAATGAATTTCCTGACTGTTAAGAGGATATTGCAATACAGTAGTTGGCATCATCAAGAGAGGTAGTGAAAGAGCATTTAGAAGTGTGGAACATGGCTTACTGTTTTGGTTTGCTTTACCTTGAGTTGACGGATTGCCAGTTAACTGGAAGCTAACACATTTGTAAGGGATACCCTGGAGATGATCCAAATTTATGTTCCTAGCTACTACTCTTGGTAAAGAAAAACTTGTAGTATGCAGCATTCCACATTTTCTCCCATACAACAGCTTTATGATCTGCTGCTGGGCTGGGTCCTGAAAGTTTAGCCTTTTTGGCTAGGGACAGACATTCAAAAAGCTGGAGCCTGAATTGATTCAACCTTTGCTTAGGTTGAACCAGTTTGTAACAGAATAGATATGTAGAACAGACATGCCTGCAGTTGCTCAGGCCAGGCGCTGGGGGTGCTACAGCACACCCTAGGCTGCAGGGAAGCTTGGGAGGGGGAGGGTGCATAGCCAATCTGGGCTGAACTGGCCAGGGAGGGGTTTAATTCCCCCCTTGCTTGTGGGGGTGGGGGCGTGGCCAGTCTGGGCTGGACTGCCGTGCACAGTCCTCGCAGCTCTGCCCACCCTGCAGCCTCACCAGGAAGGGGCTCATGCTCCCTGACATTATGACAGGGGCTGCTGCCTACAGCAGCAGCAGCAGCAGGGTGGGGGCATGGCCAGATGCTAGTCGGCGGGGCCCCTTCATGGGGGAGCAGGGATGGGGTTATTTCCTCTCCCTCTGGCAGTGGAGGGAACAGTAGGGGACCTATTCCCTCGCAGGCAGCAAGCACAATAGCGAAAGTGAGCAGACCTGGCTGCTAGTGGGGGTAGAGCCCCTCCCCTGCCTGTCCTTGCTCTGGCTGGGGAACAGAGGGGCGGGGCCAGCCTGGCTGGACTTGAGCAGAGAGCCCAGCCCAGAGAGCATACCGGGATGCTGGGGGAGTCTGGTTTAACTTAAACCAAAAAGGGGTCTCGGACAGACAATGCATAAACCGGTTTGAGCCAAATCAGATAAGTCTGATACTACGTTCAACCAAGTTTATCTCAAACTGGTTTCGGCCATTTTGAAACTGGTTTATGTGCACTGAATGTCTGTTATGTTACAGGTTTCAACCAGTTTCTGATCACTTAAACCAGGTTGTGTGTAATGTCTGTCCCTAGCCTTTATGGAACGTAGCATTATCAATAAAGCACACCTCCCTATGTGTCTTTCTATGTGTCATAAACACAGAAGACAGAGCTTAAGACAACATGAAAAATGTAAACAGAAATGGATGCTCGGTTAACATCACAAAGATACTCAAGAAGCTCTGATGCACCATCATCTGCAAACTGTGAGAATTTGAAGAGTTTCCCATTTATATGACCAAACTTTTTTTTTTTAAAGTTGCACTTAATGCAGTGTAAAAATTGAGTTCAGCAATGGTTTCATCATGTTCCAGTTTTCAGGAACTGCCAATTCCACACTCCCCCCCTCCAGTAAATAAAAAAAATCTAGCATTGGAATCCTTTCCACTCTCAGTACCTTTTGGATACTTTGTTCAATGTTTTTTTCTCTGCTTTTGTTCATTTTCCGAGACAGTGCAATATGTGCAGTGTAAGAATACATAGCTGTTTGAATATAACTATAAGGAATCCACACGACACTCTTTTTTATAGAGAGCAGGAAGATACAGAATAGAAAACACACCCATGCTCAGTATTAGAACATGTTTAGTTTATAACATGTTGCTGTTTTCACATCTTACAACAGGGAAATCAGAAACATGTCTTTCAGAAATCAGATACAGTACACAACTTTGAGGGTAGTTCTTTAAATGGACAATAAGTATGCAGGAAGTTCCTTATCTGTGGCTTTGGAATAAAGGGGAGATTTCAAAGACAGCTTAACTCTTTTAAAGCTGGAACTGTGGTTTTCTTCCCCTTCCCCTTTATATGCTAGACCTTTATGCAAGATAGTGGAAATGAAAACATGGCAAAATGAATTTAAAAAAATAAGATGCGTCTGCGAGTAGGAAAAATAACAGAGGTGAAAAACCCTATAGCAAAAGCAAGTTAGAAAATTTCTGGCAGGAAGCATTATAATTTGGACATATCATTCTTGTAACCAACAACAAGATCATAGGTTATTTGTAATTCCCTTAGAGACACTAAGGTTTAGTGTACTGGGGAAAAAAATACTCATAGCTATCGGCTTTTTGATCCCTAGAATGTCCTGAGATCAGCAAATCACTACCAGAAGACTGGCTGCAGCTTGGCGCAGCTGCAGAGAAGGTAAATCTGAGAGAGCCTATTTGATTGGGTGTATCCCACAGAATCATCTAATCAATCCAGGCCTGTGCTCTAGACATCAGGGCTTCAGCTTACAAGTATCATGCTTCACTCACTTTTTATGTCTTTCTGATCATTTAAGCACTTATTTCTCTTCTTTATATTAAAATAATTTGAAGAGATGAATTACAGAATAGCACTTATTCAGTCCCTAAGGACATTATCTTCACCCTTATTTGCATAGCTATCAACCAACTGAAACTTGTTAAGGAAAGTGAAAGCATCTATTAGTATTTCCACGGCCTCTGGTATCCTGGTTCAAGGCCCAATTACAGTAGGCACTGTACAAACACAGAGCACATAGGTGGTCCATGATGCAAGCTAAGACAAAAACAAAGTTGATCCAACATAAAAACATAAGGGAGCATAAAGAAACAAAGACAAATCATTGTCTTCAGGGTCAGTAATGATCAGACCAGCTACCAAGTGATTGTCAAATTTTTACTAAGCATCATAGCAGAGGGGAGTTTCACAAGGAAGTATCCAAGGGCAGAAAATAAGATGGCTTTGCAGATGTTTACAGGCAATGAAGGATGGATTACTATCTTTCTTCTCCGAGAGAGAGAGAGAGAGAGAGAAGCCAGTAGATTAATGAGATTTACAGAGGAGGCTAATGAACACTGATAAGATGAGATCAAGAGAACTCACACAACATAGCTTCTGAATATTAAACTCAAAAGAATAAATAGCACTGCTGGTTGTTTTTAATTAGAACAAATACTGGAGTGTCACATTCTGTCTTTCCTGAACATTAGGCCATATCTTAAGGCTTGTAATACTTTCTACTGGATAAAAGTTGCTACTTCATCGGATTTGTGAAATGTGAGCACCCAGATGCCTATATACCTCAAGTGGTGCCAGATACTTCACTCAAATTTCTCTGCATAGTACTTATTTACCTTGACATATGCCATATTTTCATTTAGCTGAAAAGTCATGGAGCAAGAAAAATGTATTCCATTTCTGTTTTTGCTCCACTGGTATTCACAGCACTACAAGTATTTTCACATTATTGGTGAGGCCATGAAGTCACATTATTATGATGTTATATTGCATGTTCTGAGGCAGAGGAATTTGGTTGTGGTTAATTTTGATTGCTGTGTTTGTGCTCTTTCT